TGTCACCCGGTCGCTACCCACCGACACCCATGATGCCAGTCCCAGGCTCGCAGGAGGGGCAGCAAGGGGAGGGGAAGCAAGGCCCTGTCGGATGCCAGGGGGCTGTGTTTTCGTTTCTTGCAGCGAAAGGGTTAATAAGGGGATCCTCCATGACTCACTGTTTGCAGGACATACTGGGCTGTCTAATAAAGAAAGCCAAGCACTAGCCCTGCATCTGTTGACAGAGTACAAATCCAGATGGTACCATGTCAGGTAGAGAGAGGGGGGTTGTGTGACCCCACGCTGGGCCATTCACAATTGTGTGCACAACTGTGGAGTTGTGATGGAACCTTCAGTGCAGGTTGATCATGGGAAGCGCTCCAGGTAAATGCAAACATGAAGGCCCCCTGCTCCTTACCCTCTGCACTGCAGCCATGAAAGAGACTTCATTAGGAGTCCCCACTGGACTCCGTCTGGCTTGTAAAGCTCTCAGGCTCTTGCTCAGTCTCAGGTCAGTGGGAGCGACTTTCCTGCTGCTTCCAATGATCTGGGATTTGTCTACCCAGGACTGCAAACAAGGTTCCCAGCCGCTATCTACAGTCCCAATCAGGGCCGGTGCTGCCACTAGGCAAACTAGGCAGCCGCTTAGGGAACACTGCTACCTAGGGCGCAGCCCTGACCATTCACCCCCCCCCCACGGCACCCCCATCTATTTCAAATTGCAAAAGCCAATAGCATGCTGGCTATTGCACCCGCTCACTGAGCAGAGGAGCGTAAATTAGAGACAATTTCTCTCTCAGGTTCGCTGCTCTGCTCAGTGGGTGGAGTTTCAATAGCCAGTCTGCTATTGGCTATTTCAAATTAAATTACATCCACCTGTCGCCTGCAGAAGCGAACCCGCAGGAGAATGGGGCTGCGTGGGGGGGGTTTGCGGCACAGGAGGGGGTGCAAGTAGCTGGTCTTGCCTAGGGCGCAAAATAGTGGAGCACCAGACCTGGTTCCAATGGGACATTTTCCTCTTATAGATCGTCATGAATTCTGTTCGTGTGAAATTACATCCACACTCCAATCCGCGGAGTCCAATCCGCGGAGTCCAGTCCACTCGTTACAGTCACAATTTGGTGCTGTGGTGGACTAATGATGGATGGTGCCGCCAACAAAAGTCCAAAAATGCAAAATGTCACCAGCTCAAAATTAAGGGAGAACTATGGGGTCAGGGTTTTTCCCCATAGTTCTCCTTAGGGTAACGGGAGGACACAAACTAGCGTCCTCCCGTCACCCTAGGCTCAGTATATAGGGAGCTACAGCTCGCGGTATACTGAGATGCCGCAGCCGGAGCGGATCCCGACAATTGTGCCGGGATCCGCCCAGCTGCGTGATTGACAGCTGGCTCTGCCTATCTAGAGGCAGAGCCAGCTGTACCCGCCCCCTCCCCCGTCCGTTCCGCCAGTCAGCGCTGGCGGATCGGAGCGGGGAGGGGGGAATCCAGCCCCTCCCCCGGTCACGGCAGAGAGCCGTGACAGGATCGAGAGGTGAGCGAACCTGGTATGTGTTCGCTCACCTCCCGATCTACTGAGCCGACCTGTGACAGTCTCATTGTCACAGGTCGGCTAGAACTATGAGGTGAGTGAAAAGCACTCACCTCATAGTTCTCCTTTAAAATGCAAAACACTACCATCACCACAACTACCATCTACCTCCCTGTTCTGCCTCCTCTGTGTGTTCTAATTACCAGGCTTGTGTACTGCGGCGCTGTATCCGGCCCCCCGGGCCCCGGGAAGGAGCTGCGAGGCTTAATTACATCATGTATCCAGGAAGACGCAGGAAGACGAAGGGTCTGTCCCACGTCTTATTAATCCGCTAGGTAATTAGACACTACAAAGGTTCTGCAGGAAATGTTACAGTTGCCGTGTAAGGGGGACAAGCAATTAATAAAAGCTGATTAGTCTTTTTTAGTAAGCGACAGATACCGGCCAGCCACTGTTGTCTGTCCATTATAGTCATAAGTGGACAAGTAGCCAGTACGTTCTTGCCCTGATCAGGAGCATGCTTGCTGATAGGAGGGGGAGAGAAGAGTGACAAAAAGGTGAGGCTTCCCCTAGTCTGCTGCTTTTCCTTTCACCATCCAATCACAGGCTGGGGGCAGGGACAAGACCTGTAAGTGTTACCTAACAGCAGAAGAAACAAAATCAGGTCTCCTGCCCTGCTAGACTGGGTTGTGTTGTGTGGCAGGCTGTGCACATCTCAGGACTGGATGGTCATCTGTGCTTTTAGCTGTTTGCCTGGAGTTATATATGTAGCCCCCGTCACCTTCTGTGATGTGGCTACTAGACATTTAGTGGTGGCCGGGGCTGTAGTCAGCCTGGCTGGAATTATAGTGGCAGTTATCTGGTTAATTCCAGGTGTCTGGCGTTGCCTGTACCCCCCTGGGCGGAGTGTGACTCTGTCATATTGTGGGAAAGCCAATGAGAGACACTGTAGTGTATGTGCAGTACAGCAGCCAATCACTGAGCTTCTCTCTCAGCCAGTGGTGCATGCTGGGATAAGGTACATATACGGGAGGGATTTTCCCTGTGCTCAGACTAGCCAGGGACCAGCCATGGATTAGGGCTGGGTGCTGTTCAGCCTGCCCCCTGGGCTAGGCCTAAGGCCTGGGGGGTGGGCATGGACTGGTGTGAGGGAAAGGTTTCCCTGAGGCCTCCAACATGGAGGAGGCCTGTGCTGCTGTTAGAGGAAGAGACCCAGGACCAATGAAGGCTCTTGAAGTATCCTGGAACCTGGAGGACATCAGGAGTATGGTCGGTGTCTTTCCTGTTTGTGGATCTGTGTCTATGTGCTACATCAGTTGCCGTCCGCTGCCTCCCAAGTGGATCTACACTGATATGCCAACCAGGTCTGCTGAGTCTGGAGCTCCTGTTAGTTACCTCTGGAAGCCTAGAACCCCTCCATACCCTCTCTCCCCAGTGAAGATGTTCAATAAAAGTTACTCAGCATTATACTACTGGAGTAGACATCAGTCTGTGGGCACCAGAAGAAGGGCGGTTAATGCTAATGGGTGGGCAGCTGAAGATCATACCCTAGACAGACTAGAGATGAACCGGGCATTCAGCAGCTCCTTCGAGGGGTGAGCGCTACATATATAATATTCAGAAAGGGGAAAGGGCCTACCTGCCAGGCTTCCACCTTCTTTATATCCGCGCAGGATCCATTGGCGAAGAGTCCTTTCCCGGGTGTGCATGTGTATATGTCCTGCAGGGCGTGGGCAATGGAATACACAGCCAAATAAACATTGTACGATATCCGCAAGTGAGTATAATCCAGGTAGGGCGTCTCCACGCTGGTGATGTTCTCCTGGCCCGTGCAGGAGCTAATGTTGCCATGTTCCTCGCTTTTCTTCAGCCCTCCGTGCATGCGGCAGTTGAAGGTCTCTTCCCAGAATTCCTTAAGGAAACCATTGCTGACAGACATCTTGGGGTGAACTTTCTGGAGGAATTCCCGAAATCCTGGAATTTGGCCGGCCCTCAGAGCGAACCCAATGGTCCCCCCGATAACGTGGAAGTATTCGGGGATAGCGATCAACGAGGAGCTGGCCCAGGCCTCGCTAGCGAGCCAGATGCGTCCCGTGATGTTACGCCTGACTATTTCCTTGATGAGCGGCTCGAGGTCCGGCCCGCTGGAGAAGACGACGATGACTTTGGCCGTTGAGTTTTGGATGACGTCCACCACTTTCTCAATCTCCTCTATGGGCGTGTACTGCGAGATGAGCTCGCTGAAGTCGATGCAGATATCGCGCTCCTCCGCCTCCTCTCGGAACTTCTCTATGCCTGGCCTTCCGTAGTCATCATCTGCGGCAATAGTCCCCACCCAGTTCCACTGGAAGTACTCGATGATGTCTGCCATGGCGGTGGCTTGGTGCTCGTCGTTGGGCATTGTGCGCAGAAAGGATTTATACTGGTTCTTGTTACTGAGAAGTCGACTGGAGGAAGCGTAACTGACCTGTAAAAATTAAAGACTGATGTGATTCTTGCAACACAGACACATACATCACATAACAGTTTAGATCGGCCTTTAGGTCAACCAGGGTTCCCCTAGATAGACCATGGGTAGGCAAACTCTGGCCCTCCAGCTGTGGTGCAATTACAAATCGCATTAGGTATTGCAAGACTCTGACAGCCACAGGCATGACTTCCAGAAGCAGATCCACAACTGGAAGACCAGAGTTTGCCAACCCCTACTGTAGACGTTGCTAGAGCCATCCTAAGTAGTGGTGGATGGACCATCTACCTGGTGGGGCCTGTATAGTTCTGGCAACAATGTCATAGGGCCGGTGACATAGGAGCAGTGGAGCTGCTTCTCAGGTAAGTGACACCAATAATCATGTTAGCTGTTTATAAGATTATAAGAGGGCATTCTCCTCAATGGCCACCAGTGTATGAAGACCCTTCTCTCACCAACCACCAATGTGAGTTAGCCAATGTACCATGAGATGTAGACATAATCATTTTAGCAGGGGTTCCCTAAGACCTAAACAATATTTTAAGGGTTCCTCCATGGTAAAAAGGTTGAGAAATACAGGAGTAGTGATAGATGAATATAAGAATTTCTGCAGGGCAAAGGCAGATGTTGGCATTGCTGGATATATATAGTTGTATACTACTCAATTCATGGTCAGCAGCTGTGGCGTAACAATCTCCATGGCGGCCGCTTTGTGGGGCCCGGGCACAGGGGGGCCCGGCCAGGGCATCACTCTGATGCCGTGTGGGCCGCCTGGGTCGCTATGGCATGTAAGGGTGCTGGCAGTCACTGACACAGCTCAGAAGCAGCGTTTCCCCTCACAGCCGCTGCGGAGCTGTGTCAGTGACAGCCAGCAGCTACGGCAGAAGAGGTCAGCGTTCGCAGTGAAGGAGGAGGCGGGGCCCGCCTAAGAGCAGCCCCACCTCCTCTTACATCACTGGCCAGCGACCTAAGAGCAGGTAGGGCCAGTGATGTAAGAGGAGGCGGGGGACAGAAGAGGAGGCGGGGCCCGGCGACCTCGGAGGCGGACAGCACTGACGGGTAAGAGGTGTGCAGCCCATCTGAGACCCCGCAGAGCCCACTATAGAGAGTCTATGGTGGGCTATGCAGGGTCACTCTCAAGTGGGCTGTTTGGTATATCAGGCGGGCTCTGCAAGTGGCATAACTGGCAATCACGGGGCCCCATACAAAATTTTGGGTCCTGTGATTTCTAACTACGCCCCTGGTCAGCAGGACAGATTTAAAACACGGTAGAAGATGTTTTGGTGACTAACAACCATAGAACACCAAGACTCTTGAGATTCTTTGCCATAAGAACCACACCACCCATTCATTTTTTTAGGTTTTTAACATAAGCTATTGACTATGATGACCGTAGTATTCCTATTCATTTTTGGCCATCGCCTTTGGTTTGGTTGCTCATTTTCCTGTTCTGCTTCCCCTCTCACCTGAGGTATATGAAAAAGCCCCAGCAGGTTGGCCACCGCTGTAGATATGCCGGAGCCCGTAGCTCCAACCACAGCGATGGTGGAGGGCATGTGCTCTGAACAGTTACAGAAATCATCCAGGTTCAGCGAGTCGATCTTGTTCTGGGCCACGAAACTGAGCGTGGCCTCCAGGGCCTTAGAGACCGTGTTGCAAGTGTCAAAAATCCTGTAGCCAAGCGTGATGTTCGGCAGCATGGTGGTTGAGTTGTTGATCTCCTCGATGGCGAAAATCATGGCTTGCAACCATCGGAACCCACGGAAGTTATATCTGCAACAAAGAGAGAAGAGAGCCAAGTGATTTGCAGGGAAATGGCGGTCGTTTTTTTTATTGGGATGTTTACCGGGAATGCTTCACATTCTGCCCATTAGTAATCCTTTAATCAGCGTCTCTTTTGATCAATTTTTGGGATTACAAAGCTAAAGAAAATGGTTGGCACTCAAGCTACCTTCCATTGGGAATACTCAATCTCAGATAAGTGGCAATACTTTGAACTGTTGTCAGCTGTAAAGGAAAGAACTAAGAACCAGACTTCCTTGACTTATATCCTGTATAGCTGTGTTCCTTTCTCAAAACTGAGTTAGAAGAGGAGCTGGCACACAGTAAGCCAATTGTCTGTGATGGGAAAACCTAAAGCTTACCCTAACGAGAGAGCCACAATATATTCTGTCCAAATTTGCCTGGAACATGTACCCAGTGGTGGGAGGCACCTTGACCAATGTTTCCAAGTAGACAGCCAATGCAATAGGAGATGTGATGCCATGTTTTATAGTGTATGTATGTATGTATGTATGTACAGTATGTATGTGGTGTATTTTAGGGTTCCCAAGGACAAGGCTTCAGAAAATGGTTGGCACTCAAGCTACCTTCCATTGGGAATACTCAATCTCAGATAAGTGGCAATACTTTGAATGGTTCTCAGCTGTAAAGAAAGGAACTCAGATCAACACTTCCTTGACTTATATCCTGTATAGTTGTGTTCCTTTCTCAAAATCGAGTTAGAAGAGGATCTAACACACGATAGGAGCCAGTGGTCTGTGACGATAAAACCTGAAACTGTACCGCCAAGATTATTTGTTACAAAGCCTCCATATTACAGCAACGAGATATCCACCTTCTTTCAAACCTTGCCTGGAACATCTAACCAGTGGTGGTAGACACCTTGACCAATGTTTCAGAGAAGACCTCCAATTCACTAGGAGATGCTGACTCCATGTTTTATAGTGTATGTATGTGGTGTATTTTAGGGTTTCCAAGGACAAGGCTTCAGAAAATGGTTGGCACTCAAGCTACCTTCCATTGGGAATACTCAATCTCAGATAAGTGGCAATACTTTGAACTGTTGTCAGCTGTAAAGGAAAGAACTAAGAACCAGACTTCCTTGACTTATATCCTGTATAAGTGTGTTCCTTTCTCAAAACTGAGTCAAAAGAGGAGCTATCACTGGATAAGAGCCAGTTCTCTGTGATGGTAAAACCTGAAGCTTACCTAATGAGAGAGCCACAATATATTATTTCCAAATTTACCTGGAACACGTACCCAGTGGTGGGAGGCACCTTGACCAATGTTTCCAAGTAGACAGCCAATTCAATGGAGATGCTGACTCCATGTTTTATAGTGTATGTATGTGGTGTATTTTAGGTTTTCCAAGGAGAACCTTCAGAAAATAGTTGGCACTGAAGCTACCTTCTATTGGGAATACTCAATCTCAGATAAGTGGCAATACTTTGAATGGTTCTCAGCTGTAAAGAAAGGAACTCAGATCAACACTTCCTTGACTTATATCCTGCATAGTTGTGTTCCTTTCTCAAAATCGAGTCAGAAGAGGATCTATCACACGATAGGAGCTAGTTGTCTGTGGCGATAAAACCTGAAACTGTAACGCCGAGGTTATTTGTTACAAAGCCTCCATATTACAGCAACGAGAGAGCCACGTTCTTTCAAACCTTGCCCGGAACATGTACCCAATGGTGGTAGCAGGGCTGTAGCTACCATGGGGCGAGTGAGGCACTCGCCTCAGGCGCAGCTGAGAGGGGGCGTAGCCAGGGCCAGCCTGGCTGCGCCCCCTCGCCCCTGTTGCCATGGCAAGCACAGGGCGCCATTGGCAACAGGGGCGCCAGACGTCCACAGCTTCTCCTCGCATTCCCCGCTGCATGGGCAGAGGACTCTGTGTCCTCATTCTCTTTTCCTATTTCAAAAGGGAAATGCCAGATGTCTGTTTAGACCCCTGACATTTCCTCAAAGCCCCCAAAACCCGCCCCCACCACCACACACACACTATTAGACATGTGCAAAGGCTAAATGAACAGAAACTAAAAATGTTTTCATTAGTTTCGTCAAACTAAACACATTTTTATGCTATTTGGTGCCGCCATCCTGGAGGCGGGGCACATGACGTCACATGACGCCGTGCGTGGCACAGGGTGACAACACGTCTGTTGGCGGGGGGGGGGGGGCACAATTTTCTGTTCTTGCCTCAGGCGCAAAAGGAGCTAGCTACGGCTCTGGGTGGTAGACACCTTGACCAATGTTTCAGAGGAGACAGCCAATTCAAGAGAAGATGCTGACTCCATGTTTTATAGTGTATGTAAACCCTAACCACAAAGGGTACCCAGGCACCATAGACACAAATCATACACAGAACGTGGGCTCCGTACCTCTATAGAACACCATCAACTTGTCATGCAGACCAGGTGACAAAAAAACCCCAATACCACTACATGTGAAAGCAGCTGATGAAAGAAAGCTTGTGGTTTTACACACCAGTGTTCATGTGGCTAAAGCTGAACTCAGTGCAGATATAAAAAAAAACACAAATATCTCAGCTCTGTTTTCCCTGAAGACATCAATGAGAGCTCATTCACACTTAAGTGTTCCGTTTTGGCACATTATTGCGCACATGCTAATGCATGTTATGACACATGCTCACTTGCATTGTATTAAAGGAGAACTATGAGGTGAGTGACAATCACTCATCCTCATAGTTCGAGCCGACGCATGACAATGAAACTGTCACAATTCGGCTCAATAGATTGGGAAGTGAGCGAACACATACCGGCGCTCTCTTATCCGCCAGCGCTGACTGGCGGAACGGACGGGGGGAGGGGCAGGTACAGCTGGCTATGCCTCTACATAGGTAGAGCCAGCTGTCAATCACACATCTGGGTGGATATCGACAGTAATGTCGGGATCTGTCCCGGCTGCGGCGGTCTAAGTACACCGCCAGCTGTAGCTCGCTATATACTGAGCTTTGGGTGACCCTGAGGAGAACTATGGGGAAAAACACTGACCTCATAGTTCTCCTTTAAAGGAGAACTATGGGGTTAAGGCTTTTCCCCATAGTTCGCCTTAGGGTAACAGGAGGACACAAACTAGCGTCCTCCCGTCACCCTAAGCTCAGTATATAGGGAGCTACTGCTCGCGGTATACTGAGACGCCGCAGCTGAAGCGGATCCCGACAATTGTGCCGGGATCCGCCCAGCTGCGTGAGTGACAGCTGGCTCTGCCTATCTAGAGGCAGAGCCAGCTGTACCCGCCCCCTCCCCCATCCGTTCCGCCGGTCAGCGCTGGCGGAGCGGGGAGGAAGGAATCCAGCCCCTCCCCTGTCACGACAGAGAGCCGTGACAGGATCGAGAGGTGAGCGAACGCCGGTATGTGTTCGCTCACCTCCCGATCTACTGAGCCGACCTGTGACCTGAAAAGCACTCACCTCATAGTTCTCCTTTAAAGCAGCCTGTTCATTAGGAAGGGGCTGCCAATGCACCATAAAGAAGCAAAAATATCACATGACCCTTTTTTTCCCCACACAGTGCCCCACAATGCCTGGTGAATGTGTTGTGGTGCGTTGGGCTGCACTGTACAATGCATTGGGATGCCATTCACAATTGATGGCACCTGAATACACTGAACATAGAGCAGGTGTGTTGCCGTGTGTTGTGGCAAAGGGTGTCCCTAGAACACATAAGTGTGTATGGGCCCTAAAATGTACCGTATGTATTGTAAAAGCAAGCAGAGCAGAGTAAGTACCGGCATGTGCAATGGTATCAGCCTCATACAGTCCCTGCAAAGCAAAGCTCGGACTAAGGGGAAGGGGGAGGCATATGGCTGGACTTGATAGGAGTATGATAAAAATTCTTACATGTATATAGTAACCTATCACTAGTATAATATCCTAACACTAGTAGTTTTTTGGAGCTGTCTTTGAACATGACTCTGATGAAGGGGTTAGTCAAGTTCCTGAAACGCGTCAGATTACTTATTCTGTTGAATAAAATACAATTTCTAACTCAAATATCTATATAGACCTCTTGGTGGGGTGCCATTACTATTTCTTATAGTTGGTCTTTGCTCAGGACCTCCCCCCCTCCCCTTATGAACAGGCACAATACTGGATATTAACAATAGGAGATCTAGCGCCAATTAAGCATGCACCTCATATATAACGGCTATGTATGTCCCCCTTTCCCCTGCGAGTGGAATATATTGTGTTTGCGTTGGCTGGGATTTGAAGCCGGAGGGATGTCTTACTGTAAAGTGACCCCGTCCTGTCTGCAAGGAGATCAGGAAAGAGTCTAATAAATATCCGCTGTAGTCTGTAGGGCACTTCACAGGTCACTGAATGAAGAGTCACTCCCAATAGTCCGTCTGCAGCTACAGAAAGTCACAATGGAGGTTCCAGCACTGGCTTTGCAGCACTGGGATCTTGATTTTGGTCTCCACGTGCAGTACCAGGAGAAGGTCCTTTGGCTCTCAAGGGAAAGTTTCCAAAATGCAACCCAAGGGACCTGAGACTGGTGAAGGTTGCACGTCTGTGCTCATATTGGCTGGGACAGTGCAAAACAATGGCAGCCCTAAGAGATCACCATGTTTTGATCACCTACCTGCACATGCTAAGGGATGCATCAGGTATGCAAGTGTACAAAAATGACCGTTGCGTCCCACATGTTAGGTATGGCCATGCACGCTGGAGTGAGAGCACTATTGTCGGGGCCATCGTTCACTGATGCCTCTAAACTGTAGAGGCTTTGAAAGCGTTCCCTAGTGACAATTTGTCAAATGTCACCATTGCGCAATTTTGATATTTGACATGTTTGGTATCTATTTACTCGATGCAACTTCATCTTTTATATGTCACCAGAAAACGGGGGGATTTCCCCAAGTGTGACCTCCACCCATTACGGCATACAGAAAAATGGCCCCCAACTGTCCCTTATTTGAAACTAAATCTCTCTGGACACTTCTTACTGGCTGTCCAGCATTGGTGTCCTCTCAGAAAGGTGACGGTAGGGGACCGGCCGGCTGGTGAGGGACCATCTGAAGCACTGGGCTAGCAGTCCCTTCACAACCACAAAAATGTAAACGCTTGAAAAAGAAAATGAATATGGCCACCACGTCCAAGGACAATTTTTTGTCTTTGGGTTTAGAGATGCTTTAAACTGGTCACACGTGCTACTGCAGCTTTTCTGAACCAGGGATCTGTGCGCTGCTAAGGTTCCTCCCATATGTTTCCTTGAGCAATTTCTGCCTCTTAGATAAGTAACCACTGACACCAATAATCTTTTTAACTATTTGTATTGGGGCCTTTCTCCCACTGACCACCAATGTATGGAACATTTCTCCCACTGACCACTAATGTATGGAACATTTCTCACACTGGCCACCAATGTAAGGAGCATTCTTCCCACTGACCACCAATGTAAGGGACATTCTTCCCACTGACCACCAATGTAAGAGGCATTCTTCCCATTGACCCCCAATGTAAGGAGCATTCTTCCTACTACCCACCAATGTAAGGAGCATTCTTCCCACTGACTACCAATGTAAGGAGCATTCTTCCCACTGACTCCCAATGTAAGGAGCATTCTTCCTACTACCCACCAATGTACGGAGCATTCTTCCCACTGACTCCCAATGTAAGGAGCATTCTTCTCACTGACCACCATTGTAAGGAGCATTTTTCTCACTGAACACCAATGTAAGGAGCATTCTTCCCACTGACCACCAGTGTACAGATAATTCTTCCTACTAACCACCATTGTATGGAGCATTCTTCCCACTGAACACCAATGTATGGAGAATTCTTCCCACTGACCACCAATGTATAGAAACATTCTTCCTACTACCCACCAATGTACGGAGCATTCTTCCCACTGACCACCAATTTAAGAGGCATTCCTCCCACTGACCACCAATGTAAGAGGCATTCTTCCCACTGACCACCAATGTAAGGGACATTCTTCCCACTGAATACCAATGGAAGGAGCATTCTTTCTACTGACCACCAATGTAAGGGGCATTCCTTATCTCCATGTTAATGTACTGTGAGCTGTAGATATAGCAGGGGTTCCCTGAGACCTGAAAGTTATTTAAGGGTTCCTCCATCTTAAAAAGGCTGAGAAAGGCTGTGCTACAGTATCGCTGTATAATCTCTAGACAATCTCCATAAGATCTACCAAACCCAGGCTGTTGAAGCCCTACCTAAACAATCTATTCCATTCGCACCCATTCAGGTAGAGTCTCACACTTCGCTGTCATTGGTAGACCTAAAGCAGACCATACAATCAGATTGCAAAGTCTTTGGCCAGCTTTAGGGAACATCTTGGATTCTATATTATCTGGGATGTTCAGTTGGAGTTCCAATGAAAGGGTTCTTGCCCGTATGATTACTCCACCAAATCCAGTTCCTACCTGGTGCACTCGAGGGATTCCGGCCTTGATTCTAAGATCTCGTCCTTTGAATTGATTCCAAAGTGGATGGGGAAGAGTCCACCAAGGATAATGTCTCCTTTCTTCTGGGCTCTGGTGTTGGGCCCATAGGAGGATGAGTCCAGAGCGAAGCTCAGTAGCAGCAGTAGAAGATAATAAATGTATTGGCCCATCCTTCTCCCGTCTGGTGCCTTGGGTTGTGGGAAGGAGACGGACCACATGGGACATGAAGCACAACGTCAGCAGAAGGTTCCAAAAGCTGATGATTGCCGTCCTGACTATGGAGCACCGAGGCCCGTGGCCTCATTTCCATCGTCCCAGGAAGGCTGCCGGCGTGTCGGTAAGGTCTCCAGTCTCGTTTTTTCCATTGCCATTTCTCTGAAAGACGGACTCTCCATCATGTGAAGACCATCGCCCTGCAAAACAGATGAGACGGTTGAGGACTTTATTCATTAAAAATAATTAAAAAGGTAAAACATAATCCTATCAATAATATGAGTCAATGTTTCAAAACCTTTTAGTTATACAATAAGAAAAATAAAAAACAGCAAGCATGGAAAAGGTAATATTATACATTGATATAGCTCTGACATTACCACAGTGCTGTACAGAGAACACTGAGCCAGTAACATCAGTCTCTGTACAGAGGAGCTTACCCTCTTATGTCCCCCCCCCCCACAGTGACATCAGTCTCTGTACAGAGGAGCTTACACTCTAATGTCCCCTCCCCACAGTCACATCAGTCTCTGTCCAGAGGAGCTTACCCTCTTATGTCCCCCCCCCCCACAGTGACATCAGTCTCTGTACAGAGGAGCTTACACTCTAATGTCCCCTCCCCACAGTCACATCAGTCTCTGTCCAGAGGAGCTTACCCTCTTATGTCCCCCCCCCCCACAGTGACATCAGTCTCTGTACAGAGGAGCTTACACTCTAATGTCCCCTCCCCACAGTCACATCAGTCTCTGTCCAGAGGAGCTTACCCTCTTATGTCCCCCCCCCCCACAGTGACATCAGTCTCTGTACAGAGGAGCTTACACTCTAATGTCCCCTCCCCACAGTCACATCAGTCTCTGTCCAGAGGAGCTTACCCTCTTATGTCCCCCCCCCCCACAGTGACATCAGTCTCTGTACAGAGGAGCTTACACTCTAATGTCCCCTCCCCACAGTCACATCAGTCTCTGTCCAGAGGAGCTTACCCTCTTATGTCCCCCCCCCCCACAGTGACATCAGTCTCTGTACAGAGGAGCTTACACTCTAATGTCCCCTCCCCACAGTCACATCAGTCTCTGTCCAGAGGAGCTTACCCTCTAATGTCCCCCCACAGTCACATACTATTATGATTATTATTATACTTTTATATAACATGCCAACTCATGAGCATACATGCAGCAAGCACGCTAATCATTAAACTTTTGAAATAAACCTCCTCAATTATTATGATTGACACTTACCATTCCTACATACATCATTGCCCATATTTGGACATATTCCACCTTACTAGGACTTACTAGTCTAAAATAGGGTTTTGATGGTATGTGAGTCTAAAATACCAAGTGCTCCATGAATCATAATGAATACAGCATTTTTGTTCTCTAAGAGCCCGTGGATGTGCATCATAAAACAAACTTCCCCCTGTGAACAAAAAAAGTGAACCGTGAAATCACAGCACACAAAAACGTGCACAAGGGTGCTTGGTCCTTCAATAAAGAAGGGACCTCGAATTCCCGACCCCCCGGGGCGCAAGGCTCCTGACAGGGGTTGAGATACTTTGGTCCACCAACCCGGAGGCTGGCGGACCCCGATCCTTCGGAGACCTGCCGAAACAGGTCCCACCAAGTACTAAGTAGGGAGCTCTCCCGAAGAGAGACTCCCTGGTTCGGGAGGAGGCAGAGAACCCTATATGAGGGCACAGGACCTCCTCCCCAGCATCGGGAATAGGCCCCGAAGGTACCTGTACCCTAAGCAATCTGTGGGTCAAATAGAAAAAATTAAAAAGTGCCAATCGTGCATGAGGTGCAATAAATAAATAAATAAAGAGTGCCAGTGCACCACGCTGACAGGCCCTAGGGGCCGAATGCAAAAAAATTGCCCCGGACTAGCCATAAGGCCTGTCCAAGAGGCGATGTGCAGAAACTGCAAGGTGGTGTGTGACCAAGTGCATCAGTGAGTCAAAGTGGGGTCCCACACCCAAGTGACTTCCTGAGCACCCCTGGGACGCCACCCCCAGGGGGCACAACACCACGGGCTCTGCCGCCTCCCTACCCTCCGGCCAGACCAAGTGATTCTCCGCTCATACCAGAAGGTAGTGCCATCGGGGGTCCTCCTGCTGTCTGGGGTCTACCCGTAAACCTCAGAGCCTGACGCAACCAGCAGCAGACCGAACCATCCTCTGACACCCACCAATTACGCCAGAGGGTACTCGAATGCTCTCCCAAAAGGGCAGCAGCATCCTTTCTCCTCCAACAACTGATAAGAACAGATACTACACTTGATCTTAGCCAAAAGGCCGAGAAGCGATAATGAATACAGCATTCCCCCACCCAGTGATCAGAGGGTCCCCCATACCTGTTACTTTAATAAATCGATTCACCTACAGTGAATGCTGGCCCAGTGCAGGTCACTCCAGGGTTGGGGAGAGTTGATCCACCGCAATGTATTTATCAGAGCCAAGCTTTGTTATATATCAGAACTCATAATCCTAATAACACAATATCTTCCTCTAGTGTACACAGCCCCCTCACATCACATCCTTACATAACTCAGTATAACATTTCCCGAACTGTGCGGAGAATGTCAATGACTGATTACCTTGAATTACCTTGACCGATGTACAGTAACGGCACTTTGCCGGAGGGCCCAGCACAGCTCAGTAATGGGCTGTACTTGTAACTCAGTACATGAGAACGATGCCAATTACACACACATTGAGGCAGTGATTTTTGGCACTGGTGGCACTGGTTTGTACAGGGAGCCAGTGATTCCCAGATCAGAAATGCCCAAAAGCGGAGTAGAAGGTAAGTATGGATTAAAAGGCAGTAAAAACTGAACTCCAGAATTCACTTCACTCTTGCACTCCTCCAGACTGACCCATCGAGGCATTTAGATGTTTGCATAACTCCTCCCAAGAGCCAGCCCATTGCTTGCATCGGGACTGAGGACTCCTGAGCAGTGGCGTAAAAAATTGCCATAGCGACTCAGGCGGCCGTTATGGGACCGGGGCACAGGGAGGCCCGGCCACGGCATCCTTCTGATGCCTTGCCGGCCGCCTGGGTCGCTATGGCATACCAGAGTGCTGGCTGTCACTGGCGGCTGTAAAGAGGAAGGCGCCGCTGTTAGATCACTGACAGCATGTCAGTGATGTGTGCAGCGGCGCGTTCCTCCTCACACCCGCTGCTGAGCTGTGTCAGTGAAAGCCAGCAGCTGCTGCAGAGGAGGCTGGACCCGGCGTTTGCAGTGATGGAGGAGGCGTGGCCCCCTTTTTGACCAGAGCATCCCAGGTTGCTAAGAGCCAGGCCTTTAGACGTGCAAGGGCCATAAACATCTCCCTTCCTGGCTCCTAGCAACTTGGGACACTCTGGCCGGTGTCCCGCCCAGTTCCTGGCAACCAGTGATGTCACTGGTCGCTAAGGGGGACAATCCCACCCAGAATACTGATGCCACTGGTTGCCAGAAACTGAATGGGATGTTGTGGCTGGTGTCCTGCTCAGCTCCAGGCAACCAGTGACATCAGTGAGCTGGACGGGACTCTGGCCAAAGCAGGGCAGTGCACCACCAGGACGCCGGCCATGGCGCCATTAGTGTGGACATCCCGCACCCCATCAACTCCACCCTTCCTTCCTCCCTCTCCACAACCTAA